CCCCAAAACCCCAAAACCCCAAAACCCCTAAGGCATTATATTTTGAATTAAAAGTTTGATTAAAATAAGTAGATAAGTTGCTTAATTGATTCTTTGTAGGTTGGTCGGTTTTTATTTACCACATATATAAAATTTAAGTACTCCTCACTTTGGATGCGTAGAGTTTTAGTCTCATAAATCCTCATTGATATCATCTTCGTCATAATTCTGTGAGTCTCCTTGGCCTTAACGCTGTGCTTATTCTTTTGAAATAGGCTCTGGCTCAACATCATCGCCCACATACTCTTCTTCCTAATCTGCATTATCTTCTTATTGCTATTGGAGATGTCTTTATCTGGCTTCAATTTCAGTGGGTACTTACCCATAGTCATTCTGGATATTCTCCTCATTCTCATAGTTCTCTTCTTCTTCATCTTAGCTATTCTCTTCATTATCATGCTTAATTTGATTTGCTAGTTCCTCGTCATCTAACTCTTCATAGTTCGGGATGTTATTCTACATGGACTGAGAACCCTAGTTCTTATTGGTATGCTATTGTAGATCTTCATCTCCATCTTCTCCAATAGTGCCGAGTCTTTCGCCTTACTTGTCATTCTAGATCTACTGCTACAATTACTGCTGCTAGATTTCATTTTCTGGGTGTACAGCAGCTTCTAAGTCCCCATTATCCACATCAGCTAGAATGTTTGCCATAATTTCTTCATTCTTAGCCATGTTGTCCAAAGCTCTGGCTATCTTCTTAAGCATAAGGAGATGAGAGTAGTTAGGATCTAAGCAGAGGAACAGTTGCAGATTCTGATGAGGAGTGTCTCTCTTTCTGACTCCTTGATCTCTTAGGTACCTGAAGAAGTCTTTGGCATTAATAAGCTCCACTATATTTTACTTCGACTTGGTCTTAACCTGTTACTCATAGATTGCTCCTCCGAAGAAGTCATAAAGTGATACATTCAGTTCCATAAGAGCCAATATCAGCTTTGCTAGAATCTTTATTGATTTTTTGTCTAGCTGGTTTAGATCTAAGCCTCCTTCCTCCTTCTTCTTCTTTTTCTTCTTTGGCTTGTTTGAGTCACCACCTTTATCAGGACTGGAATTAGCATTACTTTGACTTGGGTTTGGACTCATTTCATTCTCGTTTTCTATGGAGTGCTCTTCATGATATTCAGCCTAACCTTCATCATCTTGAATTCCGAAGTTCTCCATAATTACAATCAATTCTTTTAGCATTATAGCATTATCCAACTTTTCCTTAGTCAATACTCTCATAAGACATGCAACTTCCAACTCCTCTAGATCAGTTATTCCAAGATCTTTGACTCCTTCTAAAAATCCAATAGGACTAAGTAGCTCAATTACCTGATCTTCAATTCTTTCTACGATAAGGAAGTTTGCAAAACTATCTCTTACAGAGAGTCCTGCCTTGATGATGGCCTCAGCAATCCTTACAAAGCATCGCTCAGCCACATCAAGCATCTGCTCCTCATTGATCTCCTCATTATCTTATGCCTCATCGTAGTTATCTTCCTCCTAGTCTTCATCGTTTTACTGCTATTAATCCTAAACCTTCACTTGTCCCTTTTCTTGTCTATTATCGTCTTCATCATCTTATTCTTAATCTTCATCTTCCTAATCGTTATCTTCATTTCTCATATTCTTCAATGATTTCACATCTTAGAGTTTAAAGATTGAATGGTCTTCATCCTCATCTTCTGATTCAGCAACCTTAGCTTATGCTTTTCTGTCGACTGTCGGACTCTTGTCATTGTCTTCGTCATCTTTATCAAGCAATTGCTCAAACTCCTCTTCATAGTTCTCTTCCTATTCATCTTCATTCTTGATCTTAGCTGTTTCTTTCTTCTACTTTGCCTCTTCTTCAAGCTTTCCCTTGTTCCTGGCTTTGATCTTCTGAGGAGAGCTGCTCTCAGGTCTCTTTCTAGATTGCACTCCTTCAGATCCAACACTCATTTAATTCAAAAGCAATTTACCCTCAATAAGCTCAAACAACAAAGGGTAGCTAAGCTTTTCTAAACCTTCACTTTTTTGGTAGAGAACGAAAACAAGGTAATCAAATAACTCTTCATTAATTTAATCATCACTTAGTAATTCTAGAGTCTCAAAGCATTCCTTAATTTATCCAATAGAAAGAATTCCCTCTTCTTCATAATCCTCCATCTAGAGACACTCTTTAAAAGACTCTTTGCAAGGCTGTAAGGCTTTGGCGATGCGTTCTTGATATTACTTGATCACTGTCTGATCATTGAATATCTGGTACTAACCAATCATCTTTGACAGTGAGGTTACAATCAGTTTTTATTTCTTGGATAGTTCAACGTCATAGATCACTTAAGACTAATCTGATGGTTCTATGAGATATCTAGCTAACAGTAGGGATTACTTGTCTTCGATTCCGTTGCTGTCAAATATTTCACTTAAAAATTTGATGCTGACATCATTTTCTGGCTAGTAGGGTTTGAAGAAGAAATCCTTTAGCTGTTCATACTTGAAAGCCTTACTTTGCAGTTTAAGCTTCAGTGCTAAGATAGTTTAACTTAATTTACTTGGATCAACCTTTGGAAGTTTATCTACTGATTTCTAAGAAGCTTTAAGTTGATCTTGCTGGCTCTTATTTGTATCATGAATAGATTTTTGTTACTATTCTGGATTGGATTTTTATATAGTGGAGTTTTATTTTTTGGGAACAGAGACACCACCATCTTCAAGCTAGGTTTGTAATTAAACAACCAAGTCCTGATATTTCTCATACAGACCCCTAAACTTCTCTTTCTCCTAGGATTCCTTGCCAAGTTCTTAAACTTTTTCTTGCAATTTTTACTATAAATTTTAGACTAAAGTGCTTTGCTCTTTTAGCTTTGAATCTCTTTGCTCAATTTCAAGTCTTAGTCTCTTGACTTCAGTATCATTGTTACCACTATTCTAGTTAGTGCTTAGACTGTTGACATTGTTAATAGTAGATGGGACACTTGAAGAACTAACTTGGGGTTTGTTTGAATAGTTATTAGGGATACCTTTTTTGCCATTATCGTCTAATTTATTCTTAAGCTCTTCATTTTGAATTTTAAGTAGGTTAACTTGATCTCTCAGTGATTTTAAATCTCTTTCTCTGTCTTTCAGCTGTTTTTTGACTTTCATATTATCTTTGCTTTGACCTAGCTTTTAAAGCTTCGACTTCTTTTCGTATTCATTTACTAGTTCTCTTAGAGATAAGGCCTCCTAATCTTTTTGTCCAAAAGCAAGAGCTAATTAGTTGTTTTCATTTCTTAGCTATGCTATAATGATCTCTTGTTGTTAGAATTTCTCCTCTATAACTTTTAATTCTTCTGGATCTGCAAATGTGTCTTTACTTTTAATTACCTCCTCTAATTAATGTCTCATTCTTGTGCATTCGTCTATATATACTTACAGTTCAACTTCCATTTCATTTAGCTTAGTTGATTTGAAGTTTTTCTTGAGAATATCGATTTCATCCTATTTCTTGTCAATTGTTAACTAGAGTTCCCTCACTATTCGCTTTAGATTGAGAGTCAAGTGATTTTCAAGTTTTGGTTTTTATATTGAAGCGACTTTGCTGTTCTAAATTATTGGTCCTCCTACACCACCAATCTAATAGGAATCTTACTGACTTATAAGATCATCTATGTATCTATCTTTCTTATTGAGTTCCTATTCCATGATTTGAACTCTAGTTCATAGCTTCAGATTCTCGTCTTTTAGAAAATTTGCAGTCATCTTTTACTGCATCACATCATTGAAAAGCTTCTCACGATCCTAAATCAGATTTCGTTACCGCATTCTACTCATCTCAGAATCCATAATACTTGGACCATTCTTAAGAGCCAAACTTTTCTTTGGCAAACCAAACTGGAATAGATGATTTTTTCGAGTACCAGTATTTGGTCTTCGCTTGAAACTGATATTGTTAAGATTAGTGGAATTCTATTGGAAAAAGCCACCAACTCCACCAGTTCCAAGAGGCTATTAATACTGTTACATTTAAGTGTAAGCCATCTACTGTTATTACTGTTGCATTAGCATCTGTTACTGCTATTATAATAGCTACATCTGCATTTGAGGATTACTCCAAGCATTTAAAGTTATTGGAGACTGCTATTGATTTGATGTGTAAGGTTATGGTTAGAAATTTTGCAAATGCTGCTATGTTTATTGACTTTGCATTTGCATCTGAAGTTGCATTTCCTGGCTTTTCCCACTGTTAGGTCGAAGCCTTCCTTGTGAAAATTATGGATGCGCTGCTGTTTGTGGTCTTATTAACCCATTCATAGGCAAAATAGGGTACTAGAAGTTCTAATTCATCTAACAAAGATTAACTTAAAATAACTGACTTCGATATTGTCGTAACCATTAGCAGCATTTCCAGGAGTCATTCTTTAATCCCCATCTTCTTCATCTTCCCCTCCCTCATTATTATTGCCGTCCTCTTCTTCGGCTTCATCGTCTTCATCATCCATCTGATTTACATTCATGTTAGGATCCTAGCCTTCAAATTCTTCGTCTTCATACTGTTCATCATCAGGTAATTACTGTATATTATTAAATTAGAATTGCAAATGAATCTTACATAGCCACCCTCTTGCTTTTTCATTTTGCAAAATAAAACTCTTTTATTCTTATAAGATTATAACGATTTCTCTTAAGTTTTTTAAATTCAATTTTATAATATTCGAGAAATTTTCACTGAGGGGTTTTGGGGTTTTGGGGTTTTGGGG